TTAAACGCTTCGTTCCTCCAACGACGAGCTATATTTTCACGCGTTGTACGTGCGTTTTCTTTCATTACTACCACTGATTGCAATCTTGTAGATGGGTGACGCGTGTGATTATAAACGCGCACAATGTTCTACAGAACATCGATGGAGCGTCGCGTATTTTTATGGGTAAATCAGCACCACAGTTGCTCCTTCGACGTAAAACACTAGATATATATTTCTATCCGCCATTTTGGTTCTACTTGATTGTATAGTACGATTAGTGACAAAAGTCAATGTTAATTAAGAAGAGCCCGCTCATCTCAAATTTTGATAAAAATACACTGAATCGATGCGTTTTCGCGTAAAAATAAAGATTTGATAAGAAAAATGTGTCGCTCTGCTCTACAAACCGAGATATTAATCCTTAAAGTTGATGATTATTCCAGTTAAGAAATCTGTCACAGCAATGGTTCACTGCGTTAATAACATAAATTCACTGCTTTTGAAATACAAATTCACTATTTTAGAAGAGAATTTATATTTTTAAAGCATAGTGAACCACTGTTATGACAGATTTTCTAACCCGAATGGTTGTCGACTTGGATTAGTATCTCAGTTTGTGGAGCAGAGCGACACTTTTTTCTTGTCAAATCTTTATTTTTACGCGAAAACGCATTGATTCAATATATTTTTATCAAAATTTAGGCTCTTCTTAACATTTATCTTTATCAATAATCGTACTATATAACCTATTAATCAAGAGAAACCAAGATGGCGGATAGGAATACCTAGAGAGCCTCACAGGGAGAGAGTGACAAATTGTATCACGTGAATGCCCACGTCCAATCAGGTCACGTGACCAGTTTTCTCCAATCTCTTCCATACCTATGTAGCTTTGATGCTCATGCCCAATTAGAGGAGACGGAATCACGTGATGCAATTTGCCACTCTCTCCCTGTGAGGCTCTCTAGGAATACTTACATATCTAGTTGCCTTATTCGATGTTCTGTTAAAGCGCTCAACGCGGGTTTAATGTCCGGATTGCGCTTTACTCGAAAACGAATATCGTTTTCTTTAAAAAATTTCCGCATTAGTTATGCGATAAATTCTTTGCATTTGTCCGTTTGTAAATATACGGGTCATTCTTCGTTTCTTGCTAAGCACGTGCTTAAAAGCTTTTATTACGCAGTTATTCGTTTTGTCAGATAATGGCTTTACCCAGACGTATTTATTAATTGTAATTTTTCATTGTTTTACCAATGAATGGATGATTTGAATGTTTTATATTAAATTGGTTAATTAGTAATGTGCGCAAGATGTGCGCAATCGAAAGTCCACCCCACTTTTTTTATATAGTACTACGTATTTCTGAGGAAACACTTTCCCAAGAGTATGTATTTTTACTTTCTTAGCAAAATTAATCTCCTGTAAAAATTAGTATATCAAATTGATACTTGACTAATTAAAATTATAAAAAATAGCTTACGCAGTGTTTTACTATAAAAGAAAAAGTGGAAACTCTTAGGCGGTCTTATCCTATCAAACGTTACCGGGAGGACTTCTAATATTACTGACAATGGCTGCATTCAGCAGACTTAATAGTTAAGTGAACGCTCGCTGCTATTGATGTATTCTTCTAGATCTAAAATTCTGATTGGATGATTTGAAAGAATACACCAATATCAGCGAGTGCTCGCTTAATTGTTGAGTCTGCTGAATGTGCCCAATGACAAAGAAAAGACTTTAAGGAAGTATTAACTTTCTTTTTGTATCTTAAATAATATTGAAAATAGTATGAATTTCATTATTTGACTTCCCGTATCTCTAAAATTAGTCCTATGCTCAACTTTAATTTTTTTCTGAGATTATTGTCTCGTTATACAACATCGTTTGGCATACGTTTGATTCGAAATTTGAGGACCACCGAAATTTGGAATCATTATTTTATGCCTCAAAACTTCAAAAATGTTTTTCTCTAAATATTATTCTTAAAAATGATGGCTACGAATAAAACATGATTTATCCGATTAATTTCAAGTTTTAAAGTAATATTTAATTATTGTTTAATATTATTTCATCGATTTAAAAAATTTTTTTCTGCTTTTAATTTTTTCGTAAATTACAACAAAAGAAAAAGCAAAATTTTTCAAGAAACTGAAGATACAATTTTTATATTCACCTATATATTGCATATATGCGTAGTTTCGTGAAAAATAAATTTTTTTTTAATTTCCTCCTTAAACCGAACACGGCGCAAGTGTAAAATAAAATAATACCTATTTCTCAAGGTTGTTAAAAATTACTTTCTTGTTTGTGTGTCGTTACTTTTTATAATAAACAATTTGATAATAACGTTGCAATTTTTTATGACGGTAACGCTAACTAAATGCTAAGGTTGTGCTAAAGCTGGAAAAGTAACTTGTCGGCATTACGTGTTACTCACTGAAAGAACTAAAAATAATGAGAACTAAAAATAACGAAGTAACAAAATAGTAACTTTCAAATTTTGTTATTTGTTACTAGAAATTATAACTTAATTACCATTATCGTTACTCATTAGGAAAGGTAATTTTTACATAAAAAAAGAAATAACGAAAAGGGTAACTTACAACTTGTTAGTTACTTTTTTATGAAACTTATACAATTCTATTTGTTATCTTACAATTTATTGAATTTAAAATCTTGACAATCATGCAGACGCATGAAGTGCAATAATTATGTAAATGCTATATTATTGTTTATTATTTCAGTATTTTTGTTAAATAATTTTGCATTTTAATTTTATTATTAAAGATGTGTTTTTCCAACAAATACATTAATTATTCATCTTTTTAAACAAAAATTTCATATGATATTGAAGAAGCTACTGTATTTTTTAATTTGCTACACGTCTATAACCTTAATAAAATTAGATAAGATTATAAATATCTAAATTCTAATATCAATAAATAACTACAGAAAAATGTATAATCTTCGTAATTAATATACGAGGTAAAGTAAACGCTTTAGAGCCGTTGATTCTATCGAGTATCCGTTTTCGGAAAGATTTTTCCGTGAAAACAGATGGGCCCGAAAAAAGATGAGAATTCATTAGACACTCAAGTTGACTCAATGCATTCGATCCCCTTTTTAACCAGTCTATTTTTTAATAATTTTTGCTCTTACTGTTTACTAGTTTTCCCTTTTTTTACTATTCATAATTATCATTATTATATTTTTTATTATTGCAATTTTATTATTATTTATTTGCATCTTTTCGTTTCTATTTTTTTTCTATGTCTCTTTTTGGTATTTTTTACTTTTTATTTCTGTATTTTTCTTTGCACCATTATTTTCCTTGTTATTTTGTACGTTCTTATTATGTTATACATTCGTAGAAGGCTTGCCCTAGAATATTAACCCCTTGCCCTACGATTTAAGTTCCGATGGCGCATGCCATAATCGTTGTTTACGTTTGTCCCGATTTCCTTACCACGAGTCACACAATATTGTAGGCGAAAGGGTTAATAATGCTTTATCTATGTTTTATATAGTTAGTCCAAGCAAAAAAACAAAATAAAGACATGGTTTCTGAATCACCATCTGTAATCAGATCTTTAAAGTTACATTAATTTATTTTCGTAAAGGGGATAGATTTACGATGTTAAAAATATGTAATGTTCTCAGTAAGGCTATCATTTATCGAGAATAAAAGTAAGATAAAAACAAGCGAAATAGAGCAATTGCATTAAGTTAGCTATCTTGATTATCGGCAACGAATTAAGCTCGAAATTTAAAAGATGAAATGAAATTGCGATGTTGCCACCGAGATAAAAAATAATTTTATAATGTAAGGGAAACACTGTAAAGACAACATATAAAAAATGTGACTGATGTAAAAATTTATATATATATATGTATATGTATTTCGAATTTTCATTAAGGAATTACTTTCTTTTTTGATTCTACTGTTGAGTATCAGACACTCTATATACAATATAATTAACGTTGTGATTATTGAACGCAAATTTAGAAATATATATACAGTGTCTCAAAAAATGTGACTGAAACACAGTGGGGACATAGATTGGATCAAGGGGACAAAACAGTTTTGTACCATTTTGCAGTTGACGCAATATTTAACGAGATATTAACGTTTAAAGATAAGCGAATACGAGCGTCCAACCAGCCTACTGATCATGTACTGCTGCCGGCAGGACGGCC